GTGTGCAGGGTGGCAGAAGTGGGAGAGGGGGCTGAGGGGGGGCAGGCAGAGAGTTCAGCATCCTCACGGCCTGATGGACGGAGCTGTTCCACAGTCTGCTGGTCCTAGAACTGAGGCTACGCAGTCTCCGCCCTAATGGCAGCAGGTTGAAGAAGCAGTGTAGCGGGTGGTCAAGATCTCCCACCCAGCAGAGGGCTTTACTTCTGAGGCGAGAGCTGTGGAGGTCCTGAAGGCAGGGGAGAGAGGTGCCAATGATCTTCTCAGCTGTCCTCACGATCCGCTGGAGGGATTTGCGGCAGGATGCTGTGCAGGCCCCGTACCACACAGTGGAGCAGCTCATCAGGATGCTCTCGATGGCCCCCCTGTAGAAGGTTGTCATGATGGGGGTGGGGGCTCTCGCTCTTCTCAGCTTGCGGAGGAAGTAGAGCCGTTGGTGAGCCTTTTTGGCCACTGCTGCTGTGTTGATGGTCCAGGAGAGGTCCTCAGAGATGTGCACACCCAAGAACTTGGTGCTGCTCACCCTTTCCACAACAACACTGTTGATGGATAGTGGAGCATGTTTTGTCTGAGTTCTCCTGAAGTCCACAACAATCTCCTTGGTCTTCTCTGTGTTCAGCAAGAGATTGTTGCGTTTGCACCAGGAGACCAGCCGGCTCACCTCGCTGCTTCTGGTTCTGCTATCTGTCACAGTGGTTCTGGATCAGGGGTTCTCCAGAGGGTCTGTTACCTGTCAGAGTGGTTCTGGTCACGTTCCCCTACAGAAAGTTTTTGAACCTGACAACTCAGATATGAAAATTTTCGTCTGACTGAAGATTTAAAAAGCTAAAACCCTCCAGAGGAGAGAACTGATCAGGCCTGACCATCCGTAGTAGAACCCATGGATGGGTCGGTACCTGCCACAGTGAAGCGGTCCATGTAGTTGAGCAGGTTGATGTAACAGAGGATGAGAACGGTCAGCACCGCTCGAACCTGGGACACCCCGCTGGCAAACTCTTCTTCTTGTTGCTGCTGAGCTGCCACCCCGTCATGATCATCCGGAACGTCAGCTTCGCTGTCAGAGGAGAGAATTGGCGCCGAGTCTGGGGTGTGCTCCCCCATGGCTGCTGAGGAAGAGATTAAACGGTGTGTCAGCCTCTGAACGTTTTACTGATTAACGTTCTCATCAAAAAATATGAAGCCCAATCATCAAATCAGGTATTTGTCCTCTTCTTGAGACACTTCCCCTCAAACTGCTTCAATAAAATATAATAAAAACCCTTGACAGCTGCTGTGAAAGTTCACAGGAAACCAAGAAAAATGTGGAGTGAAAGCAGGAAGAACCTGGAGTGAAAGCAGGAAGAACCTGGAGTGAAACCAGGAAGAACCTGGAGTGAAACCAGGAAGAACCTGGAGTGAAACCAGGAAGAACCTGGAGTGAAACAGGTAGTTGGAACCAACAACACACCTTTTAACAGATGTTTACCCTAACCGTCCAAAGGTTATGTAATAAATGTGGACTGACCTTGATTAAAAATTATAGTAAATTCCTGGCAATGCTGCGATTCCCCTCACTTGAATTAAAACACACAAAACTCGGTTTTGGTTAAGTCACAAAATTCTGTAACTTTTATTCTCTGTTTTAATAATGACAATATGGAATTATAGCAAATAAGAAATATGAATGAATAACCAATAGTGTTATTTCACAAGTGTGAATAATATAGAATAGCTTAAAACTGAGAAGAGATGTTATTCAAATTTTGGACTAATGTTAAAATTTAGGCAAACTTTATCTTAGATTTGTGAAGTAAACTAAAGTGTCTAAAAACTTAAGTTGGCACTGAAGGTCATTCCTTTCATCAGGAGGAAGATGGTTAATCCTACAGGAGACGTCCTCACTCATTACCACAATGGAAGTGATGTGAAAGGAACAATAAAATTAAATAATAAATTTAAATTTAACAAATTAAAATTAAAACTATTATAATGATGACATACATTTTTATTACATTTTAATTTATTGTAGATAGACTTGTATGTAATAATTTAAAAACGTATTGCATGTTTTAATATGATCATATATGATATTCAATAATAATAATAATCATAGTTAAAAAAGCTCACACTGTGAGGTTCGTGCTTGTTTCTGTAAAAAAGGTATTTTTTCAGCAGAGGTTCGGTTGGTGCATTTTAACCCTTCTCAGCTGTTTTCTGACCTTCGTTCAGTCCTTTAAGCCATCACTGATCGAACATATCGATTTGTGATCGGATGCTGAGCTGCACGCGGGACAGCAGCTGAGCTCGCGCGGTGAATGAGCGCGAGGCAGCTGTTCAATAAGCCGGCAGCTTCCAGACGCACCAGACTCTGTTCAAATATCTCACGCTTTTATGAGCAGCGACAAACATGCGGCTTTTTAAAGACCGAGACATGATTTATTATTTCTAAATTTTTTTATAGAATTCGGCAAACATGTCGAATGAATATAAAACACAGTTGCAACAGATGAGGAAAATAAACTGTTGTTGTTTACCTGTCTAGATGGATCGTGGCTCTTCCTCCTCGCGCTGCCGGTTTGAAACCTTCTGAATCAAACTTTTAAAACTTATTTAAAGCTCATGTTGTCAGTGTAAAAACAAACACTTTCACGGACTCCACGGAGGAGGAAAGTTTACTAAAACCTTCCCAGACGAAGCCTCTTACCCACCGCCATATTGGATCTGACCCTACTTCCGCTGTGGCTCACATGACTGCAAAAAATCACAGCTCGTCACGTGATGCTGGAAGCCCATTTCCGCCATTTTGATTGAAAAATAATGTCCGCCAGAGGGCGGTGCTGAAAGTGCTGAATGTTCCTTTCGCGCATGCGCTGTTCGAGTAATAATACCAACGGATTCACAGGTGTGACACGGATGACCAATCAGAGGCGATACAGCCTGGCGTCATCCGCGGCTCTGTTCCTACAGAATCTTCTCGCAGAATGCAAGGATTCTGAGTGTTTGTATATATCTTTGTCTTTTGTAGTTCTGTGTGTTATTAATAAATAAAAAAATAAATAAAAAAAAAGCTCTGGCGATCATTCGGGATTCATAGAACCGTAGTTACATACGTAACTTTCGTTTGACTCAGCGGCTGTCTCATTATCTAATAAATAAAATATAACGTCTCATAAGTGAGAATCTGAAAATAATGACTCATATGTCACGATTTTAACTTTAAATCTCATAAATGACTTAGTATATTAGTAATGATAAAATATACATTTGAGATATCTTGTATTTGTAACAGATTTTACTTTAAGAGGCAGAAATGGGTTTCCATGTGATCATACAGTCCAGTCATGTTTAAATTGTAGGGTAGTTAAAAATACATTGATTCATATTTCATGTCAGTTTCAAAGATCTGCTGCTGCTGAACAGGATCAATCAATAAAAATCTCTTTAGGTCAGAGGTTTTCACTTCTTAAGTTTCCTCAGTTTAACATTAAACGGATCAGCTTTGAGGAACAAGTCCATCTCTAAAATGGGATTAAAGTCTCTTGGAGCTCAGCTGCACCCGTCAGTCTGGACCATCACGTTGTCTTAGATGGAGCTTCACACCTGAACCGCAGTGTTCCTGATGTGGGAACCAGATGTTTCCCAGCAGCACACGGAGAAACAAATATGGCGGCGGCATTATGGTATGGAGGTTTTTCTGTGACCTTCTGCAGGACTGAGATAAAAAGGTCAGGGTGTACAGCTGAGGTCAAAGGTCAAAGCACATCCAGAGTCCATACCTGCAGAAATTGAAGCTCCTGCAAGTCCTGGAGCTTTCAGAGAAACCTTTCAAAATAAAAGTCTTTACAATCAAACTGAGCACATTAGGTTTTTCTTCACAACTTCACTTTTATTTTCCAGGGGGGAGAGAACAAACAAACACAACCTTCAGTCATGTTCCCTGCGATCATAATTTAGCATTTTTAGCTTGATGTTTGTTTTCAGATGGTAACCATGACAACAGGGCAGATGTTGACCTGAAGGAGCTTTGAGCAGATTTAAACTCTGAAAAAAGAAGTTCGAAGATCACACCATCATCAGGGAAGTTTGGTTCTTGCCAAATAAAAAGAGAAATTAATTCTTTATTTAACCCCGAGTTATTTAATCTGGATAATTGGAGCTGCAGGAAAACATTTCCACCATCGAGACTGAGAACTTTCCAAAAGCTCCGTCAAACGAATAATTTAATTAATGTTTGAGGAGGAAGATATTAGATATTAAAAAAGTAAAGTGCTAAAACAAACGATAAAACTGTGTAAAATCCACCTGGACTCCTGGAGAGTCCTGCTCCTGCAGGTCTGGCTCTCCTCCCGACGGGTCACTTTAGAACGCCATCGTGGAACAAAACGAGGACCGGACGCCTCCCAGCCTAAAGAAATTTATTTATCAAATTAAATTAAATCAAACGTAACAAACAGAGGTGGCAGTGCAGTTCAGGTGAGCAGAGCCAGCAGCCAAACAAAAACAGCAGCAGCGGATTTTAAATGTTAAACTTCCAGAAATGATCTGAGGAGGTTCAGGTCCAGACTTCAATGATGTCTCCGTCCTCCATGTCCAGCTGCGCCGCCGTCTGGCTGTCCGTCACAATGGCACCGTCGAACAGGAAACGGACTTTTCTCCGGGCGCCAGCTGAGATGTTGGTCAGGTACTGGGAGAAGACAGAGCCCAGCGGAGCCTCCTGAAACAATCCGAAAGTTCCCTATCAGAGACCCAAACATAATGAAGCAGACAGGAAGCAGACAGGAAGTAGACAGGAAGTAAGCAGACAGGAAGCAGACAGCAAGTAGAAAAGAAGCAGACAGGAAGCAGACAGCAAGTAGAAAAGAAGCAGACAGGAAGCAGACAGCAAGTAGAAAAGAAGCAGACAGGAAGCAGACAGGAAGTAAATGGACTGTACTTCTATAGCTCCTTTCTATCTAATCAAGACACTCAAAGATCTTTATAACACAACCTGTGCCTCATTTACCCATTCATGCAGCACTCTTATTACATATATAAAGACTAATCAGAGATTTATCACATTCATACACCGATGGGACACACATCAGAGGCAATGAGGGGTTCATCGTCTTGCCCAGGGACACTTTGGCATGCGACTGCTGGTGGATTCAAACCCCCAACTCTTGCATTAGAGGACGACTGCTCTAACCACTCAGCCACCTCAGTAGACAGGAAGCAGACAGGAGGTAGACAGGAAGATAGGAGGAGATATGTGATGGCAGCACAACGGCTCAGTGGTTAGCACTATTGCCTCACAGCAAGAAGGTCCTGGTTTCAATCCCCGGTTAGACCTGGGGTCTTTCTGGGTGGAGTTTGCATGTTCTCTCCGTGTTGCGTGGGTTTTCTCCAGGTACTCCGGTTTCCTCCCACAGACCAAAAACATAAATGTTAGACTGCCTTCAGGCCCAGGCCTCCTTGTGATCTCAATGGGATTTGCCTGATTAAATAAAGGTTAATAAAAAAAATAATGATGATCCAGTAACCCTACAGGAGGTCACCTCTGCCATTGAGCATCTCAAATCTAACAAATATCCTTGAGTTGATGGCCGATCTGTAGTTTTATCTGACATTTATAGAATACTCGGCTCCCTTCATACTTAAGGTAATCTTAGAAAGTACAGAACGAGGAACTCTACCTCCAACACTAACTCGAGGCCTGATGATTCCTAAACCTAAAAAGAAACTCCTGTTGATCGATAATTGGCGTCCAATCTCTTTGCTGAACACTGACTACAAGATATTTGCTTCCGTACTTGTGAAACGGATTTAAAATGTCTTGGATCCACTTATTGATGAAACTCAATCAGGATTCATGAGAAATAGACATTTCTAATGATATTCGACTTGTTTTAGATTTAATTTATTACTCATTTCTGTGTCCTGATGACAGTTTTATCTTCTTCCTGGATTTTTATAAAGCATTTGACACTGTAGAGCATAATTTTATATTTCAGACATTTTGGATTTGGTATTTTTTTCTGTAAAGCTGTTAAAACTATGTACACCAACAGTAACGGTTCCATTAGACTAAAAAAATGGGACTTCACCCAGATTTGAATTACAGTCGGGCATCAGACAGGGCTGCCCAGCTTCTCCTCATTTATTCATCCTGTGGACACAACTTCTATCCACTCAGATAAAAAATAGTCCATTAAAGTTTCTTTATTGCAGGTAGAGAACTTACAATCCGTCAACTGGCTGATGACGCCACATTATTCCTAAAAGATGTCACCCAAGTTCCCATTGCTGTCCAGACAATAGACATGTTCTCTGCAGCTTCTGGACTCTGCTTCAACCTGCACAAGTGTGAGCTTTATCCTCTTGAACGCTGCAACAACACAGTGATTTATAACGTTCCAGTCAAAAGCAAACTCTCCTGCCTCGGGATGACTATAATGAAAAACCAGATGCTCTGAAAACTTTAACCCAATTATTGAAAAATCAAGGAATAAACTGAACCAATGGCTTCAAAGAGATCTATCCCTGAATGGAAGGATATTGTTAACGAAGGCAGAGGGATTGTCTCGTCTCACACACGCAGCTGTCCCTCTGGCTGTCCACAAGCCTATCTGTCCCGCCATTGAGAAGTTATTATTCAATTTATATGAAAAATAAAACACATTATGTGAAGAAATCTGTTATTATGAACACTTACGATTCAGGTGGTTTAAACTTTCCCCACTTTACTCTTAATAAAACCTTTAAATGAACTGGATGGAGCAGTTTTTACAGAACCTACATCTACGTGGAACTTTATACCCAAATATGTTTTTCTACTGTAGGAGGCCTTGAATATGTACTTCTGTGTGATTAGAAAATAGATAAACTTCCCCTTTGGTTATCAAACTTTCATAAACAAATGTTGTTGGCATGGTCTTTAATTTATAAACACAATTTTTCTCCATGTTTCATTTGGAACAATCAACACATCAAATACAAAAATAAATCTATTTTTTTAACTTGTGGTTTGATAACGGCATAATTCTAGTATCTCAGCTACTTAATGATAATGGGAATTTGCTGAACCACTCTGAGTTCTTGCAGACATTTTATTTTCCTGTTACCCCAAAACAATTTGATCTAGTAATGAATCTATTCCCTCTGGTGTTCTAACTTTATTAAAAGAGGTTGAGAAACCAGCTGGTGCTCCAACCTTTGACTCCATTAATCGTAATATTAGATCATTATTTCAAGCAGATATTACCAGTAGCCCCTATGTTGTTAATTACTGGGCTGGATTTGTAAATGGGCTGAACTGGGTCAATGTGTGGAAACTGCCATATAGATATTTAGTGATAAACAAAGTAAGAGAAGTATCTTATAAATTCATCCACAGGTCTGCCAAGCAGTACATGTTAAAATGTAGAGAATATATTTGTGTGAACTGCTCTGTGTGCGAGTCTGAAACTATGATCCAGATGTTCGTGTTCTGTCACACGACTGCCTCCTTCTGGAAACAAGTCATCTGGTTTATCCAGAGAAATATTGACTCGTTTCTGTTGAAGTTGGAACAATGAACTGTTTGGAGTCCATGATGTCACAAACAGAAAGAACTTTAGATTTGATGATACTCGTAGGGAAATACACAAATCAAAGTTGAGTCACTCTGTTCCTCTTTTCAGGCCACAAGGAGTCTGAACATCGTAAACTTTTCTGACTCCAATAACAAGACAGCTCTAAAAACATTTGATTTGTGCACCTAATTTAATGTGTTTAATTCAATAACACCCCAGCTTCTGTTTATCCTTTTTTTTTTTTTGGGGGGGGGGGGGGGGGGGGGGGTGAATGTATATTGATAACTATTGTGTAATGTTTGAATTTTAATAAATATATATATATTTTTTTAAAGGAAGCAGACGTGAAGCAGACAGTAAGCAGACAGGAAGCAGACAGGAAGCAGACAGGAAGAGGAGGAGCTACATACTCTGTGGATGGAGAACTCCTGGCACGAGTCTCGGTCTTTGCTCTGCAGTTTGACGGTGATGCTACTGCTCTCCTCTGCTGCCATGGCGACACACTCTGCAGAAAACACCAAACCAGAGGTCAGACGGTTCTGGTTCTGATCAGCAGAACCACTTCCTGTTTGGCTTGTTTCAACACAAACCAACTCAAAGATTAAATATCATCAGAACACAATGACATCAGCAGCAGCTAATTAACATAAAGCCAACCAAAGATGGTCACTGAGTGAAGATGGATCACTCTGAGAGAAAACAAGCTGCTCAGCTGTCAGGAACCAGGAGCTCCAGAACAGACCCACTTCCTGAACATCTCGGCTGTTGGTTCTCATCGTGAGCTTGCCTAAATAAAAACAAATCCAGGTAGCTTTGTAGTTTCCTCTGCTTTTAACCCTTTCAGCACCAAGTTCAACAACAACAAGATCAGCAGGAAGTGAGGCAGAAACCCTGAGGGACTCCCATTTTCTCTGGGTCAGAGGAAATAAACACAAGTGAAAACGGACCGCATCGTTTCACTCACAGAATCCAAAATCTGTCCTCACTTTAAACGGACCGGAGTCAGAGTGAGGGAGAAACGATGAATTAAAAGTAAACGTGTGAAAATAAAATCTATTTATGGTTTTATATCAAACTCAGATGTTTACAGTGTCAAAAACATAAAATCAGCTGAAGAGTCGGAACATCAGAGAACAGCTGGAGCTGAAACCAAAAGCGCCGGATCAGTTCTGATGCTTCAGCAGAAAATTCTCGGGAAGTTCTGAATGTTTCTGTCAGCAGAGTTCCAGACGAGAACTCAAGAGGCCCGTTCCAGATGACAGAGGAGCAAGTTGGGTTCTGGTAGGAGGTCAAGTTTCCTGTCATGGTTCCATGAAGAAGCAGCTCCGAATCCGTTCGTCACCTTGAAGACGACTAATCAAGCGGCTGCGGTGGAGAGGTAGAGCAGCCGACTCGGGACCAGGTCGTCACAGTTTCAACTGCCCACCATGCCCACATGTCATGATGTCCTTGAGCAGAACACCCAATCCCTAACTGCTCCCCGGTGCTTACATAGCTGCCCACTCTCACCTGTGTGTACCTCAGGTGTGATGCGTTAAATGCAGAGAACTAATTTCATCATTACTATGATGACAACACAGACCTTTATCTTTTAAGTTTATCCAGAGTCATGTGACCCACCGATGATGTCAGCGATGCCGAGGCCGAGCTCGCCGATGGTGGAGTCTACCGACAGTTCCACATCATCCCTCAGCAGGAGGAGGCGAGGAGGCGGGACGTTCAGGATGACAGACAGCTTCTTCACCACGCAGTTTAATCGAGTCGTCTGTAAACATGAAGAAAAACAAACTTCCTGTTTATTGTTTACTTTCAGTCCAGGACACAGACGCAGGACATACCGACAGCACCGGGATCTTGTGGACGTCTGCTCGGCAACGGATCTTAAGGGGGATCTCCCGGACCAAGTCGGAGGTGTGCAGCAAGGTTGGGCTCATAATGACATCATCATCAAGGTCTTCCAGTTCCAGTCCAGGCGGTGGGGATGATGGGGTTCTATTACTTCTGGACCTGATGGTCTGAGGTTCTGGGGACAGAACGGCGCTGACGGCCCGGAGCCTCTTGTTGATGTCACTGAATGAGGAGGAAACATCAGAATCTGGACTCAGAGTGACTCATATTCAGGTCCGGTTCAAATATCCTGATCTGAACAACTCTGCAGACAGAACCAGAACCACAGAACACCTAAATGATCAAGATTCGATCCTCAAACCCTGCAGGATCGTGTCTGGTCTGAAAGACGAGAACCTTTGGTTGAAAATGTCTTCAGTCCTTCGTCCTAAAACTCAAAACATCTTCAAAAACTAACAGAACCATCTGAGCTTCAGCAACTGTCCTGGAGATCTGAAACTGGACCTACTTGATCTTTTGAGTGACCTTCCTGGACTGTTTCTGGACCGGACTCTCTGGAGGCGGCGAAGGGCAGCGAGGTTCTTCTCTGTGGCAGACACGACAGGAAGCGTTAGACGACTCGTGGATCCTCCATCAGGCGGAACATCGGGCGGTTCTCTGACTCACACTGGCTTCACCAGCTCGTCAAGTTCTGCTTCGTCCTCAGAGTCGCTGAGCGTGATGTCAGGCAGCAGCGGTACGCCAGTGGAAAACGCCGCCCACAGACCGTCATCGGCGCCGTCGTCTAGTCAGAGACAGAAACAAGGTCAGGAGGAGCAGAGGGCGGGGTCTGCAGCTCCTCAGGTGTGTTTTCACCTGCGGTTTCCTTCTCAGAGAACAGAGCTGCTGTCGGCTTCAGCTGAAGACTGCTGCTCACCTGGAAACACACCTCATCATCATCATCATCACCACAGGCGAACCTGACAACAAACACGGCATTTGAAGTTCACCTGGTTGGAGTAAACAGGAACTGGAACAACTGCTGACGGGTCGAGGACACGCCGACGTTTAAATGGAGGCTTCACAATCTGAACGTCCCCGTCAGACACCTGAGAACACGAACACACACACACCTTGTAAAGGTATACATGTTTATGGATGTGATTAATCAAAATCAGTTAAATGTGAAGGTTAGTGCTCTTTAGTCTTAAAATCCACACGTCAAATTAAATGTTCAATATTAACATTTCTATATTTATCATCACAGTAATAGTGTTACACACATTAGTAGTTGTAAACACTCAAAATAACACATATGATGGTTTAGTGCTTACATTTAACCTAAACATTTAAGGAGTAAACATTTTTAATAATCGTGTTAAAAGTTACAAATGTTGTCTTTGATGCTTGTTTGTTTTCCAGATATATAAGTGTGTGAATGACGGGGATTAACTTAAAACACTTTGTAGAACGGTGCTTTATGAAGTTCAGTCCATTTCCTTGTATTAGTTGACCGACAGATCCGCCACATGTAATATGACGGACACTGACGCACCGCTGCAGTGAGCCAAACAGCTCAAAATTATCTTTGAGCCATCTTCATAAATATGTCTATGCTGGAAAGGATTATTACTTCTTCTTGTATTTGGCGGTTAGCAGACAATATTTTGGTGCATTACCACCACCTACTGGTCAGGAGTGTGAACTGATACAGGTAGTCTCATTGAGTCACAGGAGTCATTTTCAAGAACCACTACAATCTGCTGGTGAAATATAAAATAGCATGTAAGCAGAGTATTTTATAACGGTGCTGGCGGGAGCGTATTACTGATTTTATGACAGAGGCTGCAGGCCGGTGGAAATTTGAACACGGGCCAGAAATGGTCCACTGTTGCCTTCATGCTTGCTCAAGATGAGAGTTCTGTGATGGAGTTCAACTCAAAGCAGTCTCCTCCTCAGATAAATAATGTGAAATTATGTTTTATATACCAGTATGAATGTTTCTGTTCAGCGCTCTGAGACGATTTCTGTTGCGACTTGGGGCTATATAAATAAACTGAATTGAATTGCTGCTGAAAGAGGTTCTGTTGGACCAGGGCCTGGAACTAGGTTTAATTTCCACTGGTTTTAGAATCAGCCAGAGGTTCAGAGCATCAGCAGAGGTCCGGTTACTGAAGGAGAACCGCTGCGAACCGCACACCTTCAAAAACAAGTTACTTTAAAAACATATGTCCAACTAAAGTTCCCATGAAATCCCGATTTCACCTCAACGAACTCACAAAGCGTCTCTGAAATGATCCGTTTATCATCCAAGCTATTCCTCAGTCTAGTGGTTCTACACTTAATGCTCAACTAGATTTTCATCTTTAAATCACTTCTTGGTCTGTTGCATTCATACATCTCCTCCTACATGTCACTGCGTGAGTGCAGCTACAGCGTGCGCTCTCAGGACATTATTACCTGCAGTGTTCCCTCAATGAGGACTGAACTTGGCAAAACGGCCTTCTCCTACTCCGCTCCGGTTTCCTGGAATATTTTGTAAAAAGACCTGAAGCTCTCAACCATGACCTCTCTAAGTGGCTTCAAACATCTAAGTTCATGGCAAAAACCAATGCAGACATGTTCCTGTTTTTAATTTTGTAACAAACAAAAACCCAGCTAGGTTACCTAGCTGATTTTTTGTTTGCTACATTTTCTTTTAAATTGTTACATTTTCTTTTAAATACCATTTTATTTTCAATTGTTAAAAAAATCTCAATTTGTACGCATCCTTTGATTGTTGTCATCACTCTTTGTTAGAATCAGGTCTTTTGTAAATGAGTCCTTGAGACTCAATGGGACTAAGCAGTATACATTAAGGCTGAATGTATGAATATATTAATTATACGCTATAGTATAGTAGTATTAAAGTATTAAAATGCAAAGATATGCACTAATAAAAAAAAAAAATCTGAACATGAATCCAGTCGAACTGTTTATGTTTCAAAAAATATAATTCAGTTCCTGCTCCTTTTAATCCATGCTGGCTGCTAACAGTTTAAATTATTATTTAATGTTAGTAAATCACAACCAGCTGAACCTTTACCTTCGGCTCATTACCTGACAAACGACAGGTTTACGGGTACTTTAAGTGTAGTTTGTTTGCGTCCATACAACTATCTTTTTACACTTTTTTCATCATTTTACACAAATTCAGAGGCAACTCTGACCGGCTTTTATTGTGAAGAACTCTGAAGTAGCATGACGCTAACGGTCACAGCTGTCGGTCCAAATTTCGTTTCTATTGTTTCAGTTGTCACTTCCAACTCGGAGTCTGAGTCAACAAAACCACACAAAGACAAATAATCGATTATATGTCCCGTGTAAAGTGTTTTTAAAGCGACAATAACAACAGCAAAACACAAACACTCACCGCTTCCGCCATGTTGTTTTTTTACCCTACGCGCCGAGAACTGTGCCGGATATGACGACAGCGTGCAGAAGCGCGTGTCAAGCCGTTTTAACGTAAAATCGATTAGTCCGACTAGCTGACCATGAAATAAGTATTTGGACTAGTCAAAATATAATTAAATATATCTTAAATAACTAACATGTCTACTCATGAATCAATTTAAAATAACTGGAATGTAATTGTGGTGAATCCAATTTTATATTAAAATGGCTTGGAGAGTTCATAATGGAAGAAGACTGTGTTCTTCTGTATACTCCATGCATTTGTTTGTTGTATAATTATCATTTGCTTGAATAAAGATAAAAAAAAGAAAAAAAAAGGAAGAAGACTTTGAACACCCAGACCCAGACTGAAAAACTCTTTTGGATGAAAGACGAAACGTTTCTTCAATTTTTTTGTTTTTTGAACCTGTCCAGAAGACATGACTTAACTTTTTTAGATTTTTCTACCTGGATTATGAGCAGCATCAGGAAAGGAAGGTGTATCTCAAGGGTCACACCTGATTGGACGGGGGAAAAAAAGGTGTTTCTCCATAATTTCTCTTTTGAGAAGGGGTTGAGAAACACCATCTTTTGTTTCGTCCATTCAGGTGTGGCCCTTGAGATTCACCTTCCTTTGAGGTCTACAGAGATACCTACTTGCTCAGGAGGACTAAATGTTCTTTTTTTTAAAATACCTAGCCATTACAGTAAAAAAAAAAAAATCTGTTTTGGTTGTTGAATAATGTGAAAATAGTTCAAATCAGTTCATGAAGAAAGAAAAAGCATGCACTCTCAATAAGGTCATGACCTTATTACCTGCAGTGTCCCCTCAATGAAGACTGAACTAGGCAAAAGGGCTTTCTCCTACTCCACTCCTGTTTCCTGGAATATCTTGCAAAAAGATCTGAAGCTCTCGACCTTGACCTCTCTAGTGGCTTCAAACATCTGTTAAGTTCCTGGCAAAAACCAATGCAGACATGTTCCTGTTTTTAGTTTTCTACACCGCCTTATAATCTAGCTGTTTTTTTTCCCCTTGCTATTTTCCTTTTGACTGCCCTTTTGGTTGCTATTTTGTTTTGATTTGTTAAAAAAAAAAGAAAAAATAAATTTCAATTTGTATGCCTCTTTGGTGAATGTCTATTGCTGTCGTTGTTATCCACTGTTGTCATCACTCTTTATTAAAGAAATCAGATCTCTCTTGTAAATGAGTCCCCAAGGCTCAGGCCTGTGTGAAGCAGACATAATAGTCAACAAACCTGGGTTTTATCTATATCAAAAACCATCAAGCAATACATGTACATGTTTTATCATTATCACTATAGTAATATAAGTTCATAATATAAATAGAATCAAGCTCATTATTTGAGTACTCTTAAATATTCCTAATATTAAAGGTCCTAATACTGCATCTTATCGCATAATATAGCGTTTCACCATCTCATTGTACCTTCAATTTAAATGCTTCAATCTTAACACCAGGAGCTAGTTACTTACTGCAAGCTTATTTTTCATTCTCCAGATCAATACAAATGCAGGTGTTCAGAAATAGTAGAACTATACCATCTGTGAAAAAAGGTTGTAAGCTCAATCATCCAGGTAGATAACAACAAAAAATGGTTAAATCATGTCATCTGGACTAGTTTCTTTAAGGGAGAAACGTTTCATCTTTCAAACGTTTCTCCCTTAAAGAAACTGGTCCAGATGACATGATTTAACCTTTTTTGTTCTCAATACCATCAGTGATATTTAGTATAGAAAAGTATTAATGTTTGATCATTATTTTATCTATAAACACATTCAAATAAATGTAGCTTTATAATAGCATTGATTTATCACAGAGCCCAATACAATAACCTGGAGGCTAGTGCTAGTGTGCTAGCTCCAGGAACAAACAAACACAGTCAACTGAAGTTTTTTCACAAACAGAGACATCTAAAAGTTGAGAGGCATATCAGTCAGAAATGGCAAAATATGCATTAGATAAAGGGCTTTCAATGGCTTAAAGCCTAACTGCAGCAGCTAGCCTCTCTCACACATAGCCTGGTTCTGAGTGTCACTGCACGATCTGTTCCGGGACCGGAAGCACGATCTGTATCGTGTGCCTGTACTCTGGGCGCAGGAGAGTTGTGCCCAGAATGGTCCTACAGTGCCTTGCGAAAGTATTCGGCCCTCTTGAACTTTTCAACCCTTTGCCACATTTCAGGCTTCAAACATAAAGATATAAAATTTTATTTTTTGTGAAGAATCAACAACAAGTGGGACACAATTGTGAAGTGGAATGAAATTTATTGGATGTGTCAAACTTTTTAAACAAATAAAAAACTGAAAAGTGGGGCGTGCAATATTATTCGGCCCCTTTACTTTCAGTTCAGCAAACTCACTCCAGAAGTTCAGTGAGGATCTATGAATGATCCAATGTTGTCCCAAATGACTGATGATGATAAATATAATCCACCTGTGTGTAATCAAGTCTCCGTATAAATGCACCTGCTCTGTGATAGTCTCAGGGTTCTGTTCAAAGCGCTGAGAGCATCATGAAGACCAAGGAACACACCAGGCAGGTCCGAGATACTGTTGTGGAGGAGTTTAAAGCCGGATTTGGATACAAAAAGATTTCCCAAGCTTTAAACATCCCAAGGAGCACTGTGCAAGCAATCATATTGAAATGGAAGGAGTATCAGACCACTGCAAATCTACCAAGACCCGGCCGTCCCTCTAAACTTTCATCTCGAACAAGGAGAAGACTGATCAGAGATGCAGCCAAGAGGCCCATGATCACTCTGGATGAACTGCAGAGATCTACAGCTGAGGTGGGAGAGTCTGTCCATAGGACAACAATCAGTCGTACACTGCACAAATCTGGCCTTTATGGAAGGGTGGCAAGAAGAAAGCCATTTCTCAAAGATATCCATAAAAAGTGTTGTTTAAAGTTTGCCACAAGCACCTGGGAGACACACCAAACATGTGGAAGAAGGTGCTCTGGTCAGATGAAACCAAAATCGATCTGTTTGGCCACAATGCAAAACAATATGTTTGTCATAAAAGCAACACAGCTCATCACCCTGAACACACCATCCCCACTGTCAAATACGGTGGTGGCAGCATCATGGTTTGGGCCTGCTTTTCATCAGCAGGACAGGGAAGATGGTCAGAATTGATGGGAAGATGGATGGGGCCAAATACAGGACCATTCTGGAAGAAAACCTGTTTGAGTCTGCAAGAGACCTGAGACTGGGATGGAGATTTATCTTCCAACAAGACAATGATCCAACACATAAAGCCAAATCTACAATGGAATGGTTCACAAATAAACGTATCCAGGTGTTGCAACGGCCAAGTCAAAGTCCAGACCTGAATCCAATCGAGAATCTGTGCAAAGAGCTGAAGACTGCTGTTCACAAACGCTCTCCATCCAACCTCACTGAGCTCGAGCTGTTTTGCAAGGAAGAATGGGCAAGAATTTCAGTGTCTCCATGTGCAAAACTGACAGAGACAAACCCCAAGAGACTTGCAGCTGGAACTGCAGCAAAAGGCGGCGCTACAAAGTATTAACGCAAAGGGCCCAATAATATTGCACGCCCCACTTTTCAGTTTTTTATTTGTTAAAAAAGTTTGACACATCCAATAAATTCCATTCCACTTCACGATTGTGTCCCACTTGTTGATTCGTCACAAAAAATTAAAATTTTATATCTTTATGTTTGAAGCCTGAAATGTGGCAAAAGGTTGAAAAGTTCAAGGGGGCCGAATTCTTTCGCAAGGCACTGGATATCTTGTAATGAAGAGGAGCTACTGCGCATGTACAACTTTAATGAGTCTATGGGCAAAGATTCTTGCAGTCCAGGGCGGAAATACGTCATCAATCAAGAGACGTTTTTGAAATAAACAATTTTACTCATCATTAACTATAAAATATTTATCTTACACAACAAAAAATATATATACCGGTACATATATTTCAAAATATTTTCATTTTATTATTTAATTTTTTATGTCTTCAAGGTAATGTGGTGAGCAGTGTTGAGGCAGTGGCATGGTCCTCAGTTGGAAAAGGGTGGATTGCTCTCTTCAGGTCAAGGGTGAGGTTCTACCTCAAGTGGAGGAGTTCAAGTATCTCAGGGTTCAGTTCACGAGTGAGGAAAGAAAGAAGTGTGAGATTGACAGATGGATTGGTGCAACGTCTGCAGTATTGAGGACTCTGTGCCGATCCATTGTGGTGAAGAGGGAGCTGAGCTGTAAGACAAAGCTCTCCATTTACTGGTCGGTCTACATTCCTACCCTCACCTATGGTCACGAGCTCTGGATAGTGACCGAAAGACTGAGATCGTGGATACAGGAGGTTGAAATGAGTTTCCTCTGCAGGGTAGCTGGACTCTTCCTTAGAGATAGGCCGAGAAGTTCAGTTATCAGGAGAGACTCGGAGTAGAACCGCTGCTCCTCCACATCCAGAGGAGCCAGTTGAGGTGGTTAGGCAAATGATAAGGATGCTCCCTGGGCGCCTCCCTAGAGAGGTGCTTTTGGCATGTCCGACTGGGAGGAGACCCCGGGGAAGACCCAGGACATGGTGGAGAGACTACGTCTCTCAGTTGGCCTGGGAACATCTTGGAGTCCTCCCAGAAGAGCTGGAAGAGGTGGCTGTGGAAAGAGATGTCTGGACCTCCCTGCTCAAGATGCTGCCCCCGAGACCTGAGTCCAGAACAAGATGATGGATGGATGGATGAAGTTAAACTGAAGAACAGTGCACATTAATGAACACTACAGTGAATGCACCGCAATTAGCAGTAGGCTATTTTTCTTTAGTTGAGCCTGGACAGGTGTTACGAATTCAAAAATACATCTTCAAATAAAAAAATTAATAAATCACATATAGAGTTGGAATGATTTTATTTAAAAAAGACAACTTTCCCCTTATTAACAAACTCATAAGTTTCTTAGTAAAACCCATAAGACATAAAATTCTACAGTTAATAAAATAAAACTGTTAAATTAAAAGAACACATAAATAGTAAAAAACACTTCTTGTTTCACATTCTCTTATTGATTTTTAATTTGAATATTTTACAGTACAATTACCGGTAGTAAAACAGATTAAGTAAAGCTGCGGACAAAGGTAGAAAAATATCCACATAGTTTTATATGATTTTTTTATTTTCCTACAACACTGGACTTGACAATAAAATAAAGTAAAGTACTTTAACTGAGGATTAAAGTAAAATACTCAAAGTGTCAGAAAAACTGTGGAGGTTTCGACACAGCTCCCTGTCACTGTCCAACAGGTGGGAACAAATTTAAAGTTTAAAAACAGGAAGTTCCTCACAACAACAACTGAAGTTACTTCATGATAAATTCAGACCTGGAACTTGTCGGTCATTTCTTCTTGTTCTCCTTACACGCCACCACGTACCTCTGGGCCACGTTGAGCGGAGGAGAGTACCCATCAGGGTACGACGTGTCCTCAAACAGCACCGAGTAATCATCCTGAGGCTGCACACAAACACAGCATCAGATCAGACTGCACTCAAACACACCATCAGATCAGACTGTACTCAAACACACCATCAGATCAGACTGCACTCAAAC